ATTAGTTGGTTAGATAAACATGCTGAAACAGTAAAGTTTATTCTACCATGCAGAAATGTTTTAAGAACTTGCATGTAGAAGAAGAATAAAAAGTAAGTTGAAACAGATTGAAATACATGAATATCAAGCTTATTACATTTTACCATTTAAGGTAGCTGTCATATTTTAAGCACCCATTTTAAGAAGCCAAATAGAGTTAATTTAGAAAATAAACTATTTAGATGCTACAGTTAATTTAGGGAGTTATTTTTCTGAGAACCTGATACCAGAACTTTATAATTTCTGAATTCTAAGAGCAAATAACTGAGACAAGTGACTGGTCCTACTAAAATCTAATACGTAAAACATGAACACACAAAAATAGAAAAGCTATAGTGAGTTTTTGCTTTATAAAAGGAGTTCTCACTTTGCTGGTGGATTTCCCAGGCTCTCTTTGGAAAGTTACTTTAACTTAATTCACTTCTTTTAGGCACACCTTTTAGGCTCCCATGTTTAAAGCATCAGTATTATTGGGTTGTGTGAAAACCATTTTCATTTGAGGATAAAAAGTAATAAGATAAAAGCTCAAACAGTTTGTACGTTTTCATCTCTGTTTCTTTCTTTGAGAAAGAAGGTAAAAATGTGTACCATGAATAAAGCTGAAACATGGGCTGCTTTCCTTGCAGAAAATTGTGCATAAGGGGGATGAGTGTATCCTGAAGGACAATAATGAGCGCAGCAAGTGGTACGTGACAGGCCCAGGAGGCGTGGACATGCTCGTGCCTTCTGTGGGTCTGATTATTCCTCCACCAAATCCACTGGCCGTGGACCTGTCTTGCAAGTGAGTTGTTGAAATTCCTAAAAGCCAAGACCTAAAGCTCTGGGGAGCAGTGGGGCAAATGCTTATACTAGAAACTTAGACACACCATTCCTGACTACAGCCCCCCAACCCAAAATTGGAACCTCATAAAGGTCCCCTTGCATTGTCTTGAAATTTTAAGTTGAAGATGCTATAGATATTATTTAGAGGATAAAAATAATGTCTGACTGTGTAGCAGAGCTGGAAGAAGTAATTGTTGCATACCTTAAAGGCATTGTTTTGAAGTTCTTCCCTTAGATAGTCAGCAATTTTGCCCAGAGCCACAAATAATAAAGTACCTTTAATATCAATATTGACTGATCAATAGGTGGAGCATTCCTTTTACAGATTGTGTATGGCAGACTCTCTTAAACCTTTTGTTATGGAACTCTTCAACCACACACAGAGCAGGAAGGGGAGATAATGTGCTCATTTCCAAGCTCTAGTAGCCAGCAGTGGTCCAAGACCAGTTTCTCCCCGCCGTCCTGCCTGGTGTCCATTAAAAAGCCACTAACAAACAACACAATAATGAAAAGCTGTACTGTATATGTGACTTGAATTATCTGTGCTATTGTAGATTATTGAGAACATACTTTTAGGGAATAAATTGGTCCAAATCCATTTGGGATGCAGTTTGAATGCTGGGCTCTAGAGTGTGTTCCCTTTGTGCCTCCTAGGATCGAGCAATACTATGAAGCCATCTTGGCTCTGTGGAACCAGCTCTACATCAACATGAAGAGCCTGGTGTCCTGGCACTACTGCATGATCGACATCGAGAAAATCAGGGCCATGACTATTGCCAAGGTATGTCCTCAGACCAGCCAGGCTGCTTGGAGGAGGCACCATGCTACTCCCTGGAGTGGGTGTTTCTACCAGGCCAACCTGCTAACGGTGTGGCTAACGCTTTTGTATCTCATAAAGAGAGTCAGCTCACCCTGCCTTAGAAGTTCTGGTCTATCCAATATAGAGTGGCTGGTGATGAGACAAACAGAAGTACTGATTAAAGTTCCCTGACAAACCAGGAAAACCTGTGGG